CTGCTGCAGTGTAGATCACGCGTGCCGATGCGACTGCGTTGTAGACTCGCAAGGCAAGGGCAGGGGTGCAGCCGTGCCCTCGCGCGAGGAGACTGCGTGCGGCGCCGAGTACCTTGCGGTTGCTCGTCCGCAGATCGTTGACGGCCGGTCGCCAGCTGAGCCGGTGGTCTATGGTCACCCCCAAGTAGCGCACCTTCGTGCTCCACTCGATGGGGAGTCCCCGGAGTGAGAGCCGAGGCGTGGAGCGGCGTGTCGACGCTCGCGGGTGGACGAGCAGTGCCTCCGTCTTGGAGGCGGCGAGCGCCAGTCCAACCCCGTTCAGGAATGCGTCAACCGCGTCGATGGCCACCTGGAGGGACTCGAGAAGGGCTGCCCGGTGGCGACCGGGGCCGCAGGCAAACAGCGCAATGTCATCGGCGTAAATCGCCACATGCACTTCACACGCCGTGTTGCACGGGATGTAGGCGGGCAGCTTGGCAAGAGCCAGATTGAACAGAAAAGGGCTCAGTATGCTGCCCTGGGGTACGCCTGCGGTGACGGAGTGGGGACCGCTGATTGTGGAGCCAACACGAACGCGAAGAGTGCGGTCGCCCAAGAAGCTCTCCAGGTAGTCAAACATCCGCCCGCACACACCGAGGTCACGAAGTGCGTCCAAAATCGATGCGTGGAAAACAGTCAAACGCACTTCTCACGTCGAGCAGCACGAGGATGCCGTAATCGCCGCGGTACTTGGCCTCCTCGAGGGTGGCGATCACGTCGGCCAGTGAGTCGAACGTACAGCGCCTTGGGCGAAATCCGCTCTGTTCGGGAGGGAATGCGTTGGTTGCGGTGGCAATCCAGCGAAGGCGTCGCAATGCCATGGCTTCCATGACTTTCCCTGCGGCCGAGGTAAGTGACACTGGCCGGTAGGATGAAAGCTCCGTGGCCGGCTTCCGTGGCTTCAGGATGGGCACCACGAGCGCTTCTTTCCAGCCAGGAGGCACCTGACTTGTGCGCCACACTTCGTTGTAGGCCTCCAGCAACCGGGGCCGCGTGGAGGGGTCAATGTTGCGCAGCACCTGGTAGGTGAGGCCGTCCACTCCCGGGGCAGACCGCTTCGTGCGGTTGTTGAGCACTGCGGTCAGCTCGCTGAGAGTAAACTCCTCCGTGCACAATGCGCGGATCTCTAGCAGAATGCCCTCGGTGGGAAAGTACCGCTCGGGAGCGAAGAGCTCAGGCCTGTTGAGTGCAGGCACAGGTGGTAGTCCCTGTGGAGGCTGTGGGCAAGCAGGAGGGGCAAACTTGTCTGCCAGCAGCTCAGCCAATTCCTGCGTGGCGATCTTCATTGCAACAGCAACACAGAGAACCGGGCAGCGAGGCTCTCTGGTGCGAAGAACGGCAGCGAAAATGCGCCAGGCTTGGGCGTGGTTCTGAGGGTCATCTAGTGACGAGCAGAGGCTCCCCCAGCTCTGGTTGCGACGGCGTCTGGCGTGCCTGCGGCACACCGCGTCAATACAGTTATAGGCACGCCAATGTTCCGCCTTCTGCGAGCGCACCGCCACAATCTGCGCCCTGCGACGCGCGGCGCGAAGGTTGAGGAGGCTGATGTCTGGTGCGGGGGTGCCCGCAGGCACGGTGCAGTGGGTGGTAGCTGCGTCGTGACACTCGGCCAGCGCGGTGAAGAAGTCTGCAGAGACTGGCACTCTAGCACACAGTTCTCTGAAGCGAGTCCACTTCACAACACTGTAGGTCCGAGTGTACCTGATGTAAGCTGAGGGGGGTGTGACCACGATGGGGTAGTGGTCGGAGCCCTGAGAGTCCGGTGCACGTTGCCACTCATATTTACACGTACCACCCACGAGAGTCAGGTCGATGGCACTGTCGGACACACCACGGCGCGCGAGAGTACAGCTACCCGTGTTTATAACGAGCAGTCCGGCCTTTTGCACGGCATCGAGAAGGTCGCGCCCACGGTGGTTCGTCACGCCACTGCCCCAGGAAGTGTGGTGAGAGTAAAAGTCGCCACCGATGACCGCGTCGCGATTTAGGTGGTCTGCGAGGCGGCACACGAATTGGGTGTCCCAGCGTGCCGAGTAGTTCGATGTGCGCACGTACACGCTAGCGACACTGGTGTCCGTGCTCCCGATGCGCACAGTCAGGGCGACGGCCTCGAGGGTGTCACAGAGAATGTCCTCGATGTCCACTGCAGCGTGAGGGAGGTCGGCGCGCACATAAACCGAAGCCCGCGACGTGCCGGGAGGATGCGAGGGAGTGCTGCACCGGACTGCGCTACACTCTTCAAGTTCGCACTGCGTGGTGCTGTGATAGCCGACAAAACCAGGTAGGTTGAGTGTTCCGACGCGAGCGTAGGTTTCCTGCAGCAGCAAGACGTCGTACTCGCGTCGGAGGAGTTGGGTAGACAGCTCGGCGTGACGGCAGCGGAGGGAACGAACATTCCATTGAAGAATCCGCGGCCGAAACACCTTGCCGCTAGCCATGTTGATTGAGGGCAGCGTGGGCGGCCAGGGCCGCGTTGCACAGCTCGAACACAGGGCCGGATTGCGGTATTGTCCCGATGAGGGCCTGCACGGCAGCGGCCAGGGCACTAATCACCATGTCCTTTTGCACCTCGCAGTCGGGGGCCGAGGGTTCGGCGGCCGGGGGCGAAACAACCGCGCTGTACGTCCGGCCCGGTTGCACTACCGAGGAAATACCAGTGCACGGTGCGCGAGCAGGCACGGCTTTTCCCTCGCTCTTAAGGTTCCTCTCGGCCTCACGACGAGAGAGGGGCGGGTCCGCAGAGGCCATGATTTCTAGCACCTTCCTCTCGTGTTGCCAGCGAGGGCATCGGGGCTCGGTGGCGGGATGTGGGCCGCCGCAGTGTAGGCACTTGGGGCCGGGTGCAACGCTGTCGGCGCGGGCGTGGTCGCCGCCACAGCGCGAACAGCGTGGGGAGCTGGTGCACGTCGCATGAGTGTGTCCGAAAGCGCCACAGCCAGCGCACTGGAGAGGGCGGCGACGACGACAACGTACAGGGCGGGTCTGCTTAAATAACGCCACCTCAGGTGGCGGTGCGTTACCCACAAATCGGAGAAGGACATTGCGTCCGGTACGGGCACAAGAGAGGATGGGAGCAGAGCTCTCTATGTTGTTTTTGAGGACCTCCTCGTCAAAAGCCGCGTCAACGCCGTGAAGTACGCCGGTACAGGTTCCTTTGTTGGCGGTCTTGGCGTTGACAGCCACATTCCCGATGCTTTCCACTGCCAGGAGAGCGGAGGTGTTAGCTCCGGGTGTGGTGTCAACCGCAACAACGTTGCCGCTGAAGTTAATGCGCACACGCTTCGTGCCGGGCACCTTCGAGAGCTGTGCTGCAATTGCGTCGCGGCTGAGGGAGAGGAAGTTGTTCTTCCTGCCCTTGGGGCGGTAGAGGATGGTGGCAGAGGTGCGGCGGGGCTCATTCGCGACCAGGTGTTCGATAATATCGAGTTGGTGCTGGCGGCGACCTGGTTTCTGGCGGGGCCCCTTTCCCTTGTTTGGGGGAGCTGCACTGGCTGGCTGCCTACTGGAAGGGGCATTTGTAGCTGTTGATGCCTGGCACGGAAATCTGTTTTTCTGCTGATGCTTGCGTCGGGCCTCTTCATAATCTGCTTCGGTAGAGGCGTCCACCGTCAGTGGGCGCATGGGGCCGAAAGCAGAAGGAGGGTGTGGCGCGGTGCTAGCGGCAGAGTTCAGAGGAGCTGCGGCCGTAGCAGACGACGCGCCCGTGCTCTCCTTTGAGCGGGAGAGTGGAGGAGAGTGCTGTTGTTGTGGCGAGGAGGTGGAAGGTAAGCAAACCACCCCATCAGACACCGGAGAGGCCGCTCTCTCTGGAGGACGGGTCGGACGGGTTGCGTGACCGGAAGAAGGTGGGGAAGGCTCGAGGAGGGTGGGATTTCCTGTGGCTGTCTGGGAGGCTCCCGCTTGCGCAAGAGACTCCAATGTTGCCTCGGTTGCCCTTCCAGTAGAGGTCATGCGCGTTCCTTCGCCTGGAAAAAGGGGAGAGACAGCACTGCGTGCGCACCCCTCTCCGAACAGGTCTTCTTGACGCCCGGCGCGGCAGGCTTGCCCGGCCAGCAGGCAAGGGCAGAAAGTGGTTGCCGGCGGCGCAGAGTGAGCGCGCGCTCGCTTGGGGGGAGCTGCAAACGACGCCTGTTGTGTTGCTCGTTGGCGGCCTGGTCCGTCAGCGCAGATTCCGGTTCTGAAAAGGGCCAGACCCTTTGGGGAGGGCGACAGGGACGGAGAGGAGGACGGAGGCGTGTTGTGCTCCCAAGAGGAGGATGATGTGGGCGAGGAGGAATCGGTACTGGCCTGTTCCTCGCTGTCTGCCGGTGTTGATGCGACCGATTCTTGGTAGTCCTGCAGCTCAGCCTTGCTTCCCTCTTGTAGTGTGGGTACAAGATGGAGTTGGGAAGGCTGTGGTACTAAGGAAATGGCGGCGGCGGCCTCCTCGGCTGCGGCCGTTAGCTTCGCGCTTTTCGTGGTGGCGGCCTTGATTGTTGGTGCCTGACGCCGGCGTGGTGGCAACAGTTTCCCGGTTCTTCGTACATGGGGCCGAGAAGTTGGGGTGCTGGTAGATGAGTGCTTTTGAAGACGATTGGCAGCAGCCTTCAGTTTACGAGCCCGGGTAATCATCGGGGCCGCAGGCGATTGTTTGGGTGAGCTGGGGCGGCTCGTTGCGGTAGCATGCAGGCTCGCGCAGAGGGTGATCTCGTCAGGAGCGTCCTTAGAAGGGGTGTCCGTCATTACTGGTAGAGGCGATGGGCCGTACTAGGCGAGGTCATTACAGATTAAAAAAAAAAGAAAAGAACTAAGGGGAGATGAGAGGGCTCTACATTTCCTCAATATCTTGATAGCCCTGAACAGGGCTTGAGACAAAAAATGGCTCAATAGGACAAGGGAGGGAAGAAAAAATTAAAACGGCGCACGGGTGTGCGCAAAAGCTATCAAAATAAAAAACTGGGGGAGAAAAAAAAAATGGAAGCATGGAAGCGCCCGTAAGGTACGGCGCCTCACTAGACGCTCGCGTGCTCCTCCAGGAAAACCGGTCGGGGACCGACCGAAAAACACGTCTGCTCTCTTCGGCGGTCGCGACGAGACGCCCCGTGCAGCCATCCGTGCGTCCATGAATGCATCTGTCTGGGTGTTCGTTCGTCCATCTAGTCAACACTCTAAGTACCACCATCTCGCATCTATTCATCATATATTCCGCATATAGAAGATCCGCCATTCAGCAGATATTCCAAGGACTAAACGAGACGTGGCACACGCAAACTTTCTTACGGCTTGCGCTTCGTATCTACTTCCCGCCTCTAACCACCTCGAGTTCATGGTATATACTAGTTCAATGTATTCATGACACTGCGCCCCAATGTTCGCTAAACCTTTCTAAAACCAAGGAGGTTACGCCCAGTGAGTATAAAATCCCTGCGTTCGTCCATGTGTCCGCCCCTGCGCCCGTCCATGCGCCCATCCGTCCGTGCAGCCATCCGTGCGTCCATCAATGCATCTGTCTGTTTATCCGTTCATCTATCTAGTCAACACTCCAAGTACCGCCATCTCGCATCTTTTCATCATATATTCCGCATATAGAAGCACCGCCATCCATCAGACATTCCAAGGACTAAACCCGATGTGGCACACGCACACTTTCTTACTGCTTGCGCTACCGTGTCTACTTCCCACTTTTAACCACCTCGAGTTTATGGTGTATACTAGTGCACTGTATTCATGGCACTTAGCCCAACGCTCGCTAAACCTTTCGAAAACCAAGGAGGTTACGCCCAGCGAGTATAACGTAGCAACCCTTTTTTGTCAGATAGGGCTCAATGTACACGCCAATGGCTGCTAATGGGGAATGAGAGACAAGAAAATTCGGCTTTTAGTTAATGCGGGCGCTGCAATTTTTTATTGTTCAACAACACACAGGAGAAATCTCCCACCAGCACTACCTTGCAGCTCAGAGCGTAAGACATGTTACGTACTATGACGAGGGACAAACGGGTGCTGCTTTAAGGAGCTTCGCCCCTAAAATGAGGTGGACCGTGGCTGTGAAGACAGCCACAGCGACAGGTAGCCTTTGAGTACGGAACACTAAAACCAGAGTGTGCGAAAACCATTTTATCACAGGCACGTGTGTATTCCACACTAAATAAAGCTTACGCATGAATTTGCTACGAATATTATATTGATAAATAAATTGTCGCGAAGGCGCGCCTAGAAAAGACATTATGGGAACGCGCGGGGGAAATCTACCTGCCATACGAGATGACCACCGGCCATTGCACCCCTATATATGACAAAAATGCGAAATTTTAACTCAAGAGTGAGTTTACACGAAGCGCTGGACGAGTCCATTGGCATTTGTCTTGGTCAAACTGTGCGCCAGGACGGCACCCAAAGGAAGAAGCGCGTTAAAAAAGCGCAGGGTTTCGATTATTTGGCACCGTCTAAGTCGGACTGTATTGTTTATGTGCCACCGTGCCGCGTAGCTTTATCAAGATAAGCATTCAAATAAGCATCTGACTTCGACCAAGAAATGCATCTTACAGCGCGCTGAAGGCTACGCAAAAGATATATATATATCTCAACGTGCACAAAAGTTTACATTCAAAATCTAGAAAGAATTCAATAAAAAATAGTACGGTTTATTTATAGTAAATACAAGCCAACCGACTCACCCACTGCACTACTTACTGCAAGTAATATTGAATTAATACAAACACGGCAAAAGAAATATAGAGTTTCTTTCTGACATGGTAAACCACAGGCTATCCTTGAAAACCGCAACGTGCTTTTTCCCTTTGTTAAGCAGACCCACTCGGCACCACTATCATCCTTCCCTAACGCCAATCCTCGCAAGGACTGACACTTCTCGATACTCTTTTTTTTTTCCACAAACTATAGCTGATTAGAATAAACTGACGGAAGCATTCCCCGATCGTGCGTGACCAATTGTGCAAATACTGTTTTTTGTTGTTATTTCTCTATATAAATGAACCATGACAAACTTGTTTTTTTTTCGTCTTACAACCAACATAAATTTGTAAAAAGCACTTTGCAACCTTGTTTTCTGTTGTTGCTAAATATTTTGCTTACCCTGCTTGGACGTTTTGTCCACAGTATCTTATAAATAAATAAAATAGAATAAAAATAAGTGCTGCACTTCATGTCGATCGACTGACAATATCGGCCGAAGCAGCGATCCCGAAATAAACTCTTAGCTCTCTGCTACTGTCATCCACATCCCCTGAGATCTTTAAAATGGTGATTTTTTAACTGTAATAACGTATCATACAATGAAAACTGTTTTCTGTATCAACTCATCTGCTAGCCAAACTGACAATACCCCCGAGCAGCATAAAACATTGTAGATAATTTTAGCGCGATAAAAAAAGTTTCTTTACCGTTCATGGCTTTCGTAGCTTATCATCGTCACAATCACGCTTAGCAAAAACAAAAAAATCAACTTCTAAAGCACTGATACTGCACGGAGAGGTGCTTTTTTCAACGGAGCGGTACATAAATGCGCCCGTGCCACTGCTAAACCGCGTGGTGCGTCGAACCGAAAGCCGTCGTATCCCACAGTTCCCTGCGATTGCCCATATTACAGGTTACCTATTGAGCCCAAATATTTTGCGTGGCGACAAGGCGTTCTACCAAAGAGTCATGCCACGTCTCGTAACTGCTTTGGAAGAAGGCCCTATTGGTGAGACATCAATGATGATTGCAGTGCTGTCTATCTAATTTTTTTATATATTAAATATCTCATCCGGTGACACAGGCCTCACGTTGAATCAACGCCGATTGTGGTTAAGCGCCATCCACTGAAGGTGATCTATGTAGCTCTATTAGGAACTACCATCATAGCAAGCACAAAGGCTACATACTATTAACCAGCGTGCCACTCCTGGTGTTGGTAATGCCCATGTTGCTGTTGGCGTTATTGCGATACAAAAACAGTCAGTGCATAAGCAGTCGCTCGTCTATTTTTGAAAGCGTCGTTTGCGAGAATCACAGTGGCAGCATGAGAAAACCTACCGACAAGCTATCTGCATATACTGAATGGACACAGCAAATTTATCGCATGGTAGAGTTAAAAGTGGTGGATGAGTCGAAAAATACAAACGTATCTATCAATGTGCAAAACACGGAAAAATGCCCAATCAAATTATTTCACGTTAATCGTACGTATACTCATCTAAGAATAACATAAAGACTTTTTAACATATGTAGTAGGGAACGTCACTGAAACTAAGAGAGAGCGTTCTTGAAATTTCGTGTGCGTTTATGACAGCTTCTCTAAGCGTTAACCACATTTGTGGCATTTGCGACAAAAACAGGACTTGAAAACCTGGAGAATCTACGTTTTCTTTTCAGTTCAAGTTCACGAAAAACACACTTGCTTCTTTGTATCGGTACGTATACGCGGCCTATACGTTTAGGCGTTGTTTTTATGATTTCAGTTTATGTAAGCTCCCCGCTTTTCAAGTATGAATGAACTACTGGGTTTCATACATGACACAGGAAACGAAAATACTGCGATAAAATACCAAAACTTCGATCTGAGCTTCGCAATCCGCAACTTTCTTTGTGCTGCGGCTTTGCTTTTTTTTAATGTAAAATACACTCCTTCTCCGGAAAACAGCAGCAAAATGTGACGAGCATTTTTTTCTAACGTTTAGTTTTTTTTTTTTTCAAACGCTTTCTTGCGCCCAGTCGTATATACAAAGTTTACAAGCTGCAAGTTGGCATTCACATCTTCAGTTGTTCCGCAGAACATCGGTATTCAATAAACATAACAGCGAACGCTTCGAAGGAATGCGTTGTTGTCTGAGCAAGTTTGCACGGTGATGTTCGAAGAAGCGGGCAAAATATGAAGGCAAGCGTCTTCGTTCTTTCTCACAAATGTTACAGACCTTTCGTGGTAGACCCGTTGCTTCACGCGCAAGCAGTTCCTTTATTTCCAAATTATTTCCACACAGTATATCAAGCAAAAGACTTGCAATGTGCTAGAATGCAGTGACATGGAACGTTCGACCGATCACATGACTAAAGAATAAGTTCGGCCAGCAATATGCGTTTGCATGGCTCTACCTAAATCAGGGGCTATAGTTTACATTTTAGACATTCCTTATTTTTTTTAATTTTGGCGCTAATATGTTGCATCGCAACTCACTAGCTGTATTTTGTGAAATGCCTTGCCAAGTCTCAAGCTTTATGAGTGGTCTTGCAAATTTTCGCAGTATAAGCCTTCCACCAATGCACTAGGTACCACATGTCTATTCTTCAATAAATGTTGCTCTTTAATGTACAAACAAATGCTTGGTTTGCCGAATGAGTTCCTTTGCTCCGACTTTTGGCCTATGCAACTCGTAAAACCTTTTCGTCGAGGATACTCGAGTAAAAACTATATATCTGCGTTCTCCTGCAATGCGCTTACTGGCATGCGCGATTTTAAGGTTTCTTCTCCAAGCACAAGGTTCTCATTCAACCTTTCTCTCTGTTTTCGAAGACGTGTTTTCAGAAGACTTGACAGCTGCATTTGGCTGAATGTTATAAAATCGTTGAGCGGGAACGTTCTAGCATATACCCATGTTGGCGGCCCTGACTGACACTTCCTCGTTTAAAATGCGCATATATACTCTCTAAAGATAGCGCAGGGATTACCGCGTCTGTAGCTCAGTTGATAGTGCATCGGAAGCGTCAGTCGAAGGTCGCCGGTTTGTTGCCTACCCACGGCATATTATCTTTACATACTTTTCATTCTTTTCATGAATATTACAGTTACTACTACTGACAACAGCCTCTATCCTTTCTTGGGCATCATTGTTTGTTTCTATAAATCTTGTGTCCAACAGAGGAATGAACCCTTGAATATACACTTCCTTCGTATATTTTAAAGAAGTATGTCGAATTTGAGAGCCGCATGCTACTCCATAGAGAGCATGCTGCATCCACAGATAAACACAAGTTGCGCGTGTGTAAATTCTTCACATGGGA